AGATCCTACTGCTGAGCATCATTGGATATTTAGCTTCTGCAAACTTTACATTTCTAGCTAACCATGATTAATTATCCTATTCTACGACATAATGTAACACAAACTATTAAATATTGGCATTTCTAATACTGCAAAAAAATTGCATTCAATCTCCATTTTCCTCTCGACCCATTACTTTTATAGGTGGTCATAGAAATTACTTATGATTATGAAGATAACCATGCTCAATAAATGTATGTAACTTAGTGCACTTTCAGCAGATTTTCCCAATATTCCTATAATGATGACTTTGATCATTATCAGACACAGAAATCAATCTATACTTGTAGTGCTATTGTAAGCACAGTACAGGTTTGTCTATTAGAAAGACTGGCTGGTTTTAGCCTGAATTTGACCCCAATAAATTAACCTCCTTCATTTATGGCCTTCAGCATGACCTCTTCTCCCTCCCTGCTGACCACAGGACCATTTCCCCTGGACTCCTTGCATCAGTGTGAACAGACACATCCTGCAGGAGACTGCAATGTGAGAGGAGTAAATGCAACAATTGAGCACTGAATGCACGTCAGTCACTAGACAACCATTAAGGTTGCAGCGCTGCTCATCTATCAGTTATTGATTACTGCAGGAGTAAGACCTCTGTGCTGGCATACAGGGGCGAATGCTGTTAATGCATATTTAAAATACAACAAAAAAAATTCTGGCTAAAATGGAATACTGTGACTGTCGACATCTTCAACTCTACATACGTTTTGGAAGTTCTCAGCCATTAAAACTGGGTAAACTTTGTGTTGTGTAATAGGTTTCCATTCCATTAAATTGGGACAATTCCATTGTCAGGCACCAAAATTGCACCATTAAAAAAAGTCTTAAACACAATGGTCATACAGTTATATGCAATAAATTATGCACCCCTGGTCAAATGACATGTTTTGTAGATTTTCTAAGTGAAAATAAGTTAACACATCCGCTACAAAGATCATAGTGTATCTTAATCATATATCATAATGTACAATTACTGTTTATTTGCTGAATTTAACATTAAAACATTAAAACCTTTAACATTAAAAAACAAACAAAAAAAAATAATGTGGCCCAAAGTATATGCAAAAGTATTGTGAAGTTTTTTTTTCCAATTTGTTAAACTAATGAAAAAGACAAAATCAATAAAACACGTCATTCAAACTTTTGCGTACAACTGTATATAAAACCATGACAACTCAGAGAACCATTTAATTGCTTAACTGGTTCTTTGCAGTTCAGAAAAAGGTCCTTTTTTGTAGTCCAGGGCTGGCACATGCCATTTTGCCACTTTAGGTGAAACATAATTGTGCTGCCCCTGCAGATTTGCTACATCACAACCAATAAGCAACAAGACACCAAAGCCAATGCTCCACCCATGCATACAAGTTAAACACTGTTGGGTTTCACATTCAGGCTAGGTATTTGTATATCTAAGCAAAGCGCAGTGGTCAGTTTCAGTTTGGTAAGGTCTGTGATGCGTGATTCAATACAAAAATTGCACTCCAAACAAGTCTCTGGTTGCAAACATAGTACATCTCCCAATGCTATGCTTGTGTATAGCTGTTAGCCAGATTAACTCTGAGAAAAATATAGAAAAAAAATTTTAAAAAAGCAAATATGAGATTGTGTATTTTAAGGACAAAATTTTGTCTGCATTCCCTACTGGGATAGGATTAATTCAGAAGTAGCCTGTCCAATCACAAAAACCTACAGACTTACTGCATGTTAGAATGTGTCTATGTTTTTCAACCAATGGTTTCCCTAATGTAAATGTCATTTCATTTTTTATTCAAGACTTTGACAGTCAGCCATTTATTTTAGACTACAGTAGCCAGCCAAACTTAATAGTTAGCTAGTACCAGACATGTTCACATTTGCTTCCAAGTTATTATGTTCTCTATTACATAACACTGTCTATTGTATATAATGTAATAAAGTGCAATACCATAATAAAAGCACAATAATAAGTAATAGTATAAAAATGTTTGTTCTGTCATTGGGTGGGGTTAGGGTAACTTTCTGGCAGGCCAAATCAAACGTCCTCACAGGCTAACTTTGTCCAGCACTTATTATTATTAGGCCTGTTATGATGTATAATCACCATGTTAGAGAACCTGTAGTATATCGTTCTTTAAATAATCTTTTAAAATGGTTCTATAGGATAAATCAGCATTATGCTAGTAAGTTGTGTTACGTAACAGAAAACATTGTATGTCCAGGCGGATAACTCAGGTAGCACTGCACTGGTACAATGAGATTTTGTACTAATTCTGAGATTTACATAACAAGACATTGGAAAAACAAAGTTTTGATCTTCCCAGGTCAATAACTTCACGACTTCGTGTTTCATTTTCGTTGTATAATTATGAATATGCTCCAACCACACATTTCATTGCAGGGTTTAATAAAATATTCGCATTGTAAAGCTGTTTTCCAACTGCATGTCTAAAAAGAAGAACTGACCCAAACATGACCCAAACATGTACCAACTGAATGTATGATTCAAGTTGTAGTTCATTTCACACCTCACAAGAAACACACTCAAGAGACAGCTGGAATCATTTATAATACAGCCAATTAACGATTTAACGGTCTTTTATGTCATTTTAAAGCATCTAATCTGGTTAATTAACTACCTTGCTTGCCAGTTAACTTACCTTATTGGCTGTCATGAAATGATGCACTGCACTGTTCTGCATACACACTCACACAAATGCATACATGTACACAGAATCATGTGTAAAATCAAATAAAGCTTAATTTTTTTGCAGCTAAATGTGTGAAAATATGAGTAAAGCGAGTCGTTTTGTGCTAAATTGCTAATAGTGTTAACTTCTTATAGTGTGTGTCTCCTTGTGTTGACCTTGCTGAGGAAAAACAGCACAGACCAGCATGGAATTCTGCTGCTGGTTTAGCTGGTCACCCAGCATGGTTATACTGACTGACCAGCATCCAAAAACACAGCATATGTTGGTTTTGTTGGTGACCAGCTTTGCTGATCTATGCTGTTTTTTTCTAGCAGAGGAATTCTACAAAGTAATATTTTTAAAAAGCAAACATGACATCCCATCCTATTCTGGTGCACTTATTGGCTGTGTAGAAGTGCTTGGTAAATTCATCTGGAAGACTAACGGTTTCACTAAATTGTTGTTCTTTTGTTACCAAAGTGTTACCAAAGACTGGATCACTCAGTGAGTTTAATACTATTTGTAGCAGCTCTACTTGCTTTTGGAAACTGTGAAACAAGGTAGTAAATGTTTTGTCTGTTTGAATTTGTTGTAGCTCAATATATTGCCGTATACTGAGCTACGTCCGTGCCGACTGAACGCAAGTTATTTACCCAGAAGTATAGCCAATCTTTATGTTTACAGACATGCAAATTCAGTCTACACAGCACCAAGAAAGGTTCCTCTTGCTTAAAGTCAAAGAAGCTGTTTTTCTGGTACAGTATATTACCCTTTTTCTAAGAATGCAAGAGCAAAATTAATCTTGGACTATAAATTCTGTCATTGGTATTAAAGCTAATTAATCAAAATTATTCACACAAAATCTTTAAAAATAATGCGTCTGGAAAGCTTGTGTGAGCTAAGTTAATCCTAGAAAAATTTCTCTAGCAATGCTGCAACAGGGCAAGCTTATATCTACTGTTCCAGAGTTTAAAGCAGGGGTGAGAAGGGACCCCTCCTGCCCACTTGTGGCCTTCAATACAAGGCCCAAATCAAAGAGGGTCCGTGGCCATCGAAGTGACAGATGAACAATGTGGCCATTCTCCCGGCCTCTCTGAACAGGCCCATCTATCACTGGGCTCCACAGATTAATTCAATTCATCAGCTCTTTGTCTCCTTGGGCCTCCTAATGCGACCTGATATTGCTCAAGGGAGCTTCATAATAAATGTTTGGATGCGGTCGGAGCCCGGCACTCGTGCGACTGAATTAAAACATTACTCTCCCACTCCCTGCCGTGGCTCACCAACCTGCCAATCGCAGCAGAATTCCAATTATTCTAATGAGGGCGAGGAGGCAGCCCTAGGGCGAGGAAGAGTGGCAGAGACGGAGGGATGAAGGAAAATGGGGCGCAGACAGGAAATATGGGTGGCAAGATGGCAAAGGAGGACCACCCATTTTATCTTTATTTTATCCAAGAACAGTTTTTATACTACTGGAAAAACGTGATTGTGTACAGCACTTGTTTACAACGCACTTACTTTGAATCCAGCTGTTTGTAAAGAGCCGCTCTAAAGTGCTAACTGTTCCAGTGTGAGTATGATCTAAAGCGAACCTGATGTTTAAGTTCATAAACTAAACTGTTAGAAAACATTTGCTTTCTCTCCTAAAATCTCCCTCCCATTTCATGTGCTTTTGTCTTTCCCCCTTGCACGCCCTTCTGCTGAGAAATATTCAGCCGTGATAGTCCCGAGAGGATGGATGCCTGCCAGCTCCTGTTTTTGCTGGCTGCCTGAACTGTTCCTGCAGGTTCCAGGCCTGACAGGAGTACAATTGATAATCTACAGTGTTGGTGGGGCCCCCTTGTGGATTCTCTACAGCACTGACAAGGTCAAGGGTATTCAGTGCCTCTCATCCAGATACTGTAAACAACCTGGGCTGCAGTGACATTACACTGGTGTGAATAATTGATGAGGCTTTTCATCCGGTGTGGCAAGCTCAGATGAGCAGAGGTGAGTCAGCCCCCCTTCCAGCCTCCACAGACTGGCCATGAAGCTGCAGACTTTAAGTAAATTTAACCCACACACACACACACACACACACACACACACACACACACACACACACACACACACCCCACAACATCGCACCTTTACTATGCTGGTTGTGGATAGAAGGTAAATTTGAATGAGTATGCAGCACTGAAACAATGGCTTCGGTAGCACCCCTGCTGTCAGATTTATTTTATATAAACATATATATTTAAAGATTAAGACTGCACACAGATTCATTATCATGGTTTAAGACAAGGTATGACAGTGAGCTATAAAAGCAAAATACTGTAGCAAAATGCAGCAGGCAGCTAGTTCAGCCATGGTGACTCCACTTGCATATATACTCATCACACAAGCACATGGACGCTAGATTATTCACAATTTCCATTGTTTCTCTTTCTAGAGATTCATTTTGAAAATTTTATTATGAATAACTGTTGAAGTAACAAAACAAATGCAACTGGTGGAATCAGTATGCCTGTATGATACACACGACAGGGAGTCAGAATTCAGCACAACACCTGTTGTCTAAAACATCTGCATGTTGAGGCCCTAAATGACACTGACAAGTGTGCAAGACCTTCAGGAAGACCTGGATGCAGTTTGAGAGAAGTTTGCGGGATGTATTTACCAAAAGGGAAGGGATGGGGGGGAACTGGGTGACTACTTCTAGAGTTTGTTAGCAATGCTAGCCTCATACTGCCAACATAAAAAAGCAAAACTGACACATCGTTGCTGTCCAAAGAAAACCAAGTATCTTAAATAGTAACTTTGCAGGAGAGGACAAAAATGTTCTTTACTTTCACTGTAAGTAAATGGAAATGCAGAAAAGTAAAAATCGCAAAAAATGGAGATACGTTTTTCCATTGGACAGCGACGATATCTTGGTTTCTCAACAGCATCTAAAATGGAATTACATGAATAGGTTTTTCACCAAACCATTACTTTAAAGACCAAATTCTCTGCAGGAAAAGTCAACCTGCAGTAAGAATTTAACCACCTCATGTCAGTGTAAGAAACATCAGGAACCAGGCGTTAGCCATTTAAGAATACTTATCTTTATTAAGCTTAATATTTTGTCAGAAGATCTCGGCTAGGTCGATATCCTAGTCTTCCACCTCTCCAAAAGCACAGGTAGTATCCTGTTGCAATGGCTCCAGCCACTAATAGCAGCAATAGTGGGACGGTGACCACCACTACCCACACCGGAACTCCAATCAATCCTGAACAGAAACACAAGATGTCCATGTATTCAAAGACATTGTTAAAAGGATATTGGGGATAAAATAAAATAAAAAAAAATTATAAAAAGACCTTCTTCAGCAGTCCAGAATGTGTCTGATGCATTGTTCTGAGCAGCTTCAACTATTGTAAAAGGTCCAATAACCTTCTTTGTAGATGCCCCTTAAAAAAAGAAGTCAAGTCAAAACAGAAAGTGTGACAACTAAAATACATGGGAAAAGAAGAGACCAGGGACAGAAACAAGCCCCCCCCCCCATCATCAGTCCCAGTGATCCTGACAAAGGGTAACAGTCTGGAAGAAGGTACAGTACCAGACTCAAAGCTGGTTCTTTTTATGCAAGCAGAGTCACAGCACCTACAGATGTAACTTCGGTATGAATCATCCAGAAGCTCCCACCTAGAACATTCATGTACTGTTAGCTTTTAGTGGAACTTAAGTCAATATTGGTAAACCATGCAAGATTTAAGACACTTACTGAGCTGCTTATTTTTTATATATATTTATATATATATATATATATATATATATATATATATATATATATATATATATATATATATATACACATACACACATATACACACAAAACTTACCTTCTTTGCTCTTTCAAGTAGTAGCAAGCCTTTTTATCTTCACCAAAGCTCTTGTGATCCCATGCATCCATGTCACAGTGGAAGAAAATCTAAAGAAATGAAAGGCATCATTAAATCATGGAAATGAGTACAAAAGCAAAAAACTCTCTAAATTTAGGTACAGAATGGTCCCTTACAGTTTCTCCTAAGGCAAACTTGAAGGCTTGAAAATAAAAGCGGATTTCAGAGGGCTTCTGTCTTGGCAAGAACATCGAGTTTCCTTCTTTGCTTTCAATGAGGCACCTTTGAGAGAAATCCAATCGTAAACGCACTTTACATAGTCAAATCCAATGATGAACAAAAAGCTGTTGATGTTGAATCAGTAACTACAAGAAGCGGTTCTTAAGACGTTTCTCCCATACGCATTTCAAGCGGAAAAATGCAAATGGGCATGAAGATGTAGAGTGAAACTCACCCAGTATTGGAAATGATGGTATGCAGCTGGCTGGCATGAGTGAGGTCTGGAGCTGTTGCTAGCACACAGCTCTGCAGGTAAATCTGCAGAGGCTGAAGACCCTGCTGCTCCACCTCAGCCTTGATGGAAATTCTGGAGCCCAAGGTGAACATGGAGGATGGGGCAGGCCCACTAAAATCACCTACAGAACAGGTCTAACACTTATCAGCTGTTTCCAACATTGGTCCTGGAGGACACTTTCACATTTTTTGCCCTGCTCTAAAATCACTCCAGCTTAAGAAGGGCTTTTTAGCTGGAAAATTGGATTAAGTGTGTTAAAGCAGGAAAAAACATGGGCTACTATCTATAGTACAATCAAGTCAGAGACCACCCTTCATTGTTTAATGTCCAATTGGAAAACCACCATGAAGTACAAGTGATTCAGATTTCAGTGTTGGTTTTATGGAGATTTTATACATACATATACACACATTTATATAAAGGAAATTACACAGAAGCGTCAACTAAATATAGTCTTCACTTTTGTCTTTAACAGCTTCCATTCTTTTCATGGTATTTTGCTTTCAGTTTTTCAGAGAAATCTACAGCGATATTTTCTGTGTCTTAAGTCCGGTCTTAGAAGTTGGTTGCATTTTCTGCTTCTCCAAGTAATTCCAAACATATTCAGTGATGAGGATTCTTGGGTGGACAGTCCATTGTTCTGAGAACACCACTAGCTTTTGTTTGATTTGCAATTTTTTTTTTGGTCTATTTACTTTTCTTAGTTACAGCTTCTTGACAGTTACACATCCTTTAGGCCCATAGTGCTGAGGTGTCTTCTCACAGTGGAAAGATTGACGAACACTTGTGGATTTTTTCTTTTTCCCCCCATATCTGAAGCAAGAGTGGAGCTCAATTTTCTCATTTCTCTCAAAGACATAAGCTTCAAATACTTTTTAATCTGGTGGTGGCAGGTTGGGTGGTCTAACAGGCCTTACACTGTCAGAAGTTCCAATTTCTCTGTATCTTTTAATCACTTTTGTTTTTCCCCTCTTATTTCCTTTGATTTTCCCCTCTTTTTTGTGCAAGTGGATTATCTTATGTCTAATCTCCTGACAAACAACTTGGACAGTTTTAACAGGAATATAAATAAATGAAGCAAGGTCTCTGTTTTTCACAGCAGTTTCCAAGTCTGTTCTGACCTTAAGCTAATATTTTATACATTCAGATAAAGAGCGCTTGGGTAAATCTAATAGTATAGCAGAGTGAAATGAACTTCCAAAGAAGATACATGCAAAGTTCAAGTAGACATTAGGGCATCTTCCACTCACTGTTCATAAACTTCATACTGAAGACATGGTCATTCTCCATCTTTTCTAAGTTAGTCCTCTTTCCAGATCTGTTGTGATATTCAGAAAACAAAGCCAATGCATGTCTCTTGAAGATGTTTTTCAAAAAAACATTGCATATATTTATAAAAAAAAAAAACAACCCACGTGTCATAAATGCACTCTACTGGCTCAGGAGGAAGTTCAGGGTCTGGTCCATATGTCAGCACATTAATGTAGGTCACCTTGTCCTCATTCACCTTTTATATAAAAAAAAATAAATAACAAACAAACCCACAAGTAGGCTATAATTTGTAGCCATACACAAGATCTATTAACCCAATGGTTCCTAATACTGGTCCTAAACCACCCCTGCCCAGTGTGCGTTTTGGCATTTACCTCGAGCCAACCAATTACCTAAAAATAAACAGAATTTCAGAATTTCTGCATAATTCAATGATTGAGATAGTCATTCTGAATTTTGATAAACGCTGAAACCTACTGACTCGGATTACTTTACAGAGGTGGTGATAGAAACCAAGGGTCGCAATATCTACAGCAATATCTGTGCAACTTTAAAAGTAAAGCAATGGTAAAGCTGAAATAAGCTTTCTTTGGGGACCATTTTGCTTTACAACACCCTGCATGACCCACTCTGCAATGAAAGGACTAAGTAGTATGTTTTAGGCCAAAAGCTTAGAACTATCATGGCATCAGGAAGTGTATCTGTTACTTTTCCATGTAATAATTTGTGAAGTAGCTTTCAGAGACATTAAACACTTCAGGTGTTTAGTTTCTCTCACCACTGAAGAATTCTGATTGTTTATCCAGAATGGAGCATCTCTGAAAAACAATGATTTTTTTTATTTAAACATCTTAACCATTTAATTATGCATTTTGAAAAAAATAGTGGAATTCCCTGTGGAATTCCATCATGATATTTCATATCGATGGCCCTCCTCAACCCAAAGACACAAAATTACAACTTCTTGTCGTTTGCGGTTGGGGTGCTGACAACTGGTACATTTGTCACATGAACAACACTTAAGGCCCAACAGTGTCTTGACTTGTCTTCAAATCAAGACCCTGAATCCAGATAAAAAGGCCAAGATTTTGTTCACACCTTCCAGTGACTACAATCAGTTATTTCAACAGTTCAATTAACCATCAGTGATGACAAACTACAGGAATGGAAACCGCTTTCACAGTTCAGATTTCAGACTTCACTCTGTGTTTCTGTGGTATCAGGAACAATTGGCTGGTCATACATCACAACTTGTTAGTTTGGGTGACGTGGAACTTGCCCAAATCTACCAACTACGTCCATGACCGTCCAAATGCACATTGTGTTGTGCAAGGCAGGCGTACTCTAGGTCCAGGGTTTGAACCATTGCATTAAGGACAGTGGTCTGTCAAGGAGATGTACCTTCCTACAGAGTTAATTTCCAAACACAATCTGCCAAACATGCTTCAGTTAATTAACTTCTTCAGATGTGCTTGATCAGGTGCATTAGTGTTAGGAAAGAGGGATTTATGCAAGCTGGAACAAAAATATGCAGGAAAACAGATGTCCTGAAGGTTTGGTGACCACTGCATTAAGCATACATACCTGTCTTCTGAAGCCACAGTCATTCAGCCAAACTAAGAACAGCAGCACATCCTCATTCAAACTTGAGGGTGGACAGTCACCCAGACGAGCTTTTGAAGGGTCCACCTTTTGGGCCCAGCTCAACACAGGCCTCCATTTAACAGTGACTGAATTAGCTTTACAGTCTATTACTACATCTGTGAGGCAGAGACAGACCAAAAATTACGTTTCCTCACAAGTGAAGTCATTTAGGCAGCTTTAGTAATTTCATATTGGAGTACTCTGAAGAAGCCTGGCAATAAAACATCATATAGCTATACACCTGACATGTTGACTTGTTCTAAGTGTATGATTAGCCCACTTTACAAAACATTAAACTCTTCCTAACTAAACGGAACTACAGCTTCATCACCACATCTTTAAAAACATACCTTTTCGTGCAAAGGTAGAGGCCACAAAAAGCAAGACCAGAACAACCTGCATTAACACCATCTTCAAACAAACGAATAGCAGTAGCCTACTACTGAACCATTCGTATTTTAAGACGCCATTTCAACTGAGTGTGGAGGCGGAGCTATTTTATTTTAAACATCCAGTCACGGATACCGAGGCGTGAACTGGAATCAGGTGTTACAAGTCCAAAGTGAGAAGGGAAACTTAAAGGACGGTTTGAATAAAGCTATTCAAAATTATTCTGATTAGCTGCCAAACATGCAAACAGGCCGAAATCAAATAGTTACCACTGCGAGTAATTTGAGCTAAACTTAAGGTTTTGTTAAGTTTTCCATTCCACTGATACGAGCACAGAGAATAACTCAAAGTCGATCCACTCGACGACCAGTTTAGCAACGCAAGCGGCCAGTTATTTCCACGCATACAACATCAGATTCCTTTCCCTTTGAATGGGCAGATACTTTTAAAACAGAAACTAAAAGCCACATTAACGTTTCAAAAAGAGATCGCTAATAAATCTGACAAAAACAATCATTTGTAACATTTGGTATAAATAGCGCACAAAAACTCAGATTGTGCGCATGCGCATTAGGCAGAATATCTCCAACGAGAGGGAACTTTTCCCGCTTGCTACTTAACCAGCAAGCTGATTGGCTCATTGTACTGAAGGGCGGGACTTTCCTCGTAAACAGACGCCATGTTCAGTCTCTCAATAATGGAAGCTATAGGGTGGACACGCTAAATACTAAAAAAAAAAAAATTGTTCAGGTTTTGTGATTTTTCCGTGAAGCTAAAAAAATTAAGAAGTTGTACATAAAGGCCATTTGACAAATTAAATAAATGAAAGTTTGGTCTTGGATTGTGCACAGCACTGTATACATTATCTTAAAACACAGCTATAAAAATAGTCTTACACTAAATTGATTTATTTCCTACTGATTACTTAATCATGAAGAAATACTTCAGTGTGGTGACATATAAGGCAATCAATTTGACAAGGACAGGAAAAGTGTAAAACAACCCATTGTGCCATTTATTTGGATGTCAACCATGGAAATGCTGGATGCTTGTATTTGGTGTTCTTATGGATTTTATTACAGTACTCCAACCGTTCTTCTAAACAGTGTTTTTCCTTTTCACATGTTAAAGATTTTACATTTAAAATACATATATTTCCCTACAGTATTTGTACAAGAATGAAAAATACTCTATACAGTGCTCAAAGAAAGGATGCTAATGGAAGCCAGAATAGAAACCTTTCTAGCTGACAATGCCTGCTCACATTTCATAATGAGCTGCAGTGCTGGATTTGATGCCCAAAACATGAAAACAAAGAAAATAAGTCACTATTTATAAAAAGAAAAACATTAAGTACATTTATGTAAACAAAAGGTTTCCAGCTAGTATTCATAAATGCATGCACTTTTAAAATAAAATCTGTATATACCTGGATAAAAGACTGAAGGAACCTAAAAAAGTTTGTGTATTCATTATTTTCTGTATTTGACGTCACAGTTGCCGCTTTGTTAGGCAATTTTGTGCAGTTCTCATAGAGACATGGCTTATAATGTGGACGTTCTCAGTGTTCTTGCTGGAAATTAAGCCCTGAATCACTGTTACATTTCTGCCTTCTTCCCTTTTTGTCTTATTTCTACATTTTCCTCTATGCAGCTAAAATTGATGTTTTTAACTGGTGCTTTGGTTTCATTTGCATAGTGTAGTTTAAAGCCTACATTTTCCCCTTTTGTTATTTTCTCTGTAACTGCCTCAAACCTTGATCTAAACTATTCAATATCCTTCAAGTTAACTGTTACTGAGGTACAACTTAAAATATTACGCACCAAATATGGCACCAAAACATTGTTAGGAATAGCAAATGAAATCATTTTTTGCCTTAATGTAATCTGATCTTTTCAACCTTTATGCAAACAGAAGGAAGTATAAGGTGCATAAAACCTGTGAACAGGCAATATAACATCTCGTAAAATAAATATGTCTCTCTGGTGGGCTGTTTTCAGCATTATCACATACCACAATCAGAGTTGTGTGGCTGACAGTACATGAAACTGAACGAGGTTGTGCGTTTAGGGTGATGTGTGGGGGTAAATAAAATAAATGGCCACTGGTTTGTTGGGGTTTATCTGGACCACTGCATTGAGGCTAGAATTCAGCTTGGCTCCACAGGGCTCATTCATGCTTTTCTCCTCCTCCATACACCTTACGCAGGCTGGAGTCCAGCAGGAAGTCTACAGACCTTTACACAAACACACACAAGAGGTCATGTCAACAATGCAAAAACAAACGAAAGATCACTGATACCAAAGATATGCTTATCAGTAATGTTTTTTTCAGAGCCTATGTCATGGAATAGGCAATTTTCCTCACTTTTTAAAATGAAGTTTTATGTAGTATGCAAACACTGTTTTCAAAACATAAAACATACAATTTACAGTCCATAGTCTATATATCAACATCAGGCTGCGAAGACTTGTTTTGAATTAAATAATTTATCATGTCACAAAAAAAAAATTACATTTATCTGCCTATTCAGTCTAGAGCAGTAGAGATGCACCAAAATGCTTTGATAATCATGCAAAATGCTTGGATAACCAACCATTGTTGAGGACATCTGATTTCATAAACATTTAATTTATTGTTTGCTTTTTATGCTTTCTGGTTTTGGTTTTCAGCCCTGCATGTGCTGAGTGGTTTCAGACAAGAATTTTTACTTTAGCTTGTTAGTAGTAATTATGAATGTTTTAGTCCTAAAACTGGTGGTATGCTTCAAATGACAAAAGAAATAAAAGAAATCCTTATCCTAAAAAGTTGTCATTTTGCTTGGAAACAACAGTTTTATTTTAAAAATACGGTCCGCTTAACTGCATTTTGAATGAGTAACAATACAGGGCAGCCAATCCTTTTCTATGAGAAAATGGTTTAGAAATGTTAAATTAATTATGACTGTTTTCAGTGCACGACCCCACACAAATGTCTTCATGGTAAAATGTAGGATATGGCATTTTTAAAATTAATTTATAATTCTTTAGTTTATTTAATCTATCCTCTGTAAAAAGTGATCATTTTAGCTCACACACCTGTCGATGGGTGTAATAATGAAAGGAATAGTAGAAAGGCCGATGGCGGTGGTGGTCCATTTGCGCACAGGTAAAGGCCACCGTGTGGTCTTGCCTAGCAGATACAGAGAAGCAGCACACACACGGTTGATGGTGAATCCTGGAATGGCCACAGACGCCAAGGCCTGCCACACAAACGTGTCCACGACTGCCACAGCTATCCGTGTAGTCTTCCCTGGGTTGTCACCATGAGCCTTGACACAGAAGAAAGTTACTAGTACTAATACTAACCGTTATACTGCCTTTATATGCCTTACAATACATTAAAGAACATATTGGTGACTCAGTAATATAACCAAAGACTGACCTGCATTTTATTGACCAAAATAATATACTTTGTTGAACACCTATAGAAATACAGAAACACGCATCTGGAGCTGTGATTGGTCAAGATGCTGACAGCACACAGTAAAAAATGGCATCTGGCTATAGGGCTTATTTGCATGTTGCAAGCTTTTTTTAGACATCAGTCTTAAGAATGCCTAATTTGCAAAAACAACTAACAAATGATATGTACAGGTTTAATTTTCATTCTTTTTTTATTTAGCTGTTCAATCAGCTGAGTTGTGAGACAGATTACAATGAAGAGGACTGCTTTCCATGACTTTGATACTGTATTATAGGTTTATAGTTTATGTTTCTTCATGGCATCTTTTTCACATATACATGGCCTATCAAACAGTTGGGGACACCAAGCATCAATTAGAAAGTTTTCTTTGTTGGTTTATAATAATTAGCGTATTAAAGACTAATCAGGTTTAAAACTGTATGTCCAAAAGTTTGTAGACACGTGCCCATCCAATGTTTCTTCTAAAATCAAGGGTATTAATAGTGAGTATGTCCCCTTTTACTGCAGTAACACCTTCTACTCCTCTGCGAGGGCTTCACAGTAGATGCTGGAACATTGCTCTCAGAATTTGATTGCATTCAGCCACAAGAGCATTAGTGAGGTCAGGTACTGATGTTGGTCATTCAGGATCACTCCAACTCATCCCAGAGTTATTGGAAGGAACTCCAGAGAACGCAGTCCCTCTGCTACATAGCCCAATGTTGGGGAGCTTTATATCCTTCTAGCTAATGCACGGCACTGGCCATTTGCAATTTCTATGGAAATTACACAAGTGTGCATGACCGAACACCCTTATATCCTTGTTGTGATGTCAGCACTTTTAGGTGTTAAATGCACATTTGGGCCTAAATATTTAATAAGTAATATTAACAACAGTTACAACAGTGTGAACGAAGACACTTTTATAAGCATGAAAGTGAGCATAGCAAAATATACCCAGAATATTACAAAACAGCTTTGTTAACCAAACTTTTACAGGTATGTTTACTTGATTGAACAACAAATGAAAATCAAGCATTTTAAAAGGTGGCAAGGTGTCCCCAAACTTTAAATTCCTAAGGTCTTTCCACAGATCAAAGAACAAAAAACAAAACTCACCGCAGCTGCCTTCTTCCCTTTGTCCACCGCATCCGCCGACACATACGTCATGGCAACCGCGTAGCTGGCCCACACCATGCTGACGGGCACCAAGGCACGGAACGCCTCCCCCACCTCGTTGGCATAGCCTGCAGGGGCATAAGCAGTGCCAGGGTAAGATACGACAGCAATTAAACTTCCAAACTGCCTGCTATTGTGGCAAGCCCCAGAACAATTCGCTGCGGCCCCCAACACAGCAGTCCCTCAGCGCCCTGCACTAGCAGCTAATGTATTAGAACCATTATTATAATTTCCACGCTGGCCCTTTGCCATGCAAGGACGGCGACTGCTTGGCTCCATCAATATTCAGGCTTCATTACAGGTCTGACATGTTAATGAAAACAATGCTCTAGTGACATCTAGGTTTGCTTCTGAAAAAGGGCCGGAGGCTTTAATGAGATTCTGGCCTCATATCAGCAATGTTAAGGCTTTAAAACTCTGCTGCCATCATGCTG